AACACAGAGTAAATTATTGAGACCAAACACTCCATGATTAAAATGTTGGGATTTTTTTCCCTTTCCATCCCACTCATCACTCTAAATGATCCTCATTCCCTTTCCTTTATCTTTTCCCCCATCCTCTAAAAAGCCATCTGCTATTTCCTTTATGAAAAAAATAAAACCTACAATTAGTGTCTTGTTCATCTTTTCTTTCTCAAAAAAAAAAAGAGAACTATTATGCAAATACTCTACAATTTGGTTTCAAATACTCTTTGTAGTGTGATGAGCAATTTTCCTTAATACAAACCCAGCTTTTTTGCCAGGACTTACTAATAGATTTTTTTTTAAGGGAACTTTCACTTTTCACATGAAAAGTCCTCTAATGTAAACTTCTCAAATGCATATTTAGAATGGAATTACCATTGCTCTTTGCATTGTAGGAGGAAAAAATAATCATTTTATATATTTAATTCTAAAAGCAAAGGCAAAAATAACCTCAACATTTTTCTTCTACCTTAAATGTCATTGTTTTCTTTACATCAGGAAATGGCCTATACCAAATATAACTTTCAGCAAATCAGAAAAAAAATGTTTATTACTTTTTTTTTGGAATTATGTGTAATTGATGGCAGTTTATCTGTTAGCACACATTCATTGTTTGATTTTAGCTGCTCATCAGGGACTAAAGCACATTTTGACCTAATTCATTCCGGGTATGGCTAATTCTAAGTGTATGAAGCCGCCTTGTTAACAGTGTAAGGTGCTGATGGAACTGAAGTAAAAATGACAATACTTTACCCTTGAAGTAATGCAGAGCTAACACTCAGAAATTCTAAGTTTTAAAACTGATTTGCTACCTACTAGTGATCTAACCAGGAATCCCATTGATCCTGTTGCCTCATTTTGCAACTGAGAGTGTCCACCTCTTTCAATTGCTTCCCAGGTTTATACTAAGGATCAAATAACTGCTGTATTTCCCTGCTTTTGCCATGGATTGTGGAGACACACAGGAGATTGAGATGTACCAGAGGTTCTCAAAGTTTCATGCTCCCTACACTAGCTTTAGCTGGGGAGTTTACTGTAAAAGCAGATTCCCAAATTCTATGTCTAAATCTGATTACCTGGGTATGGCATCAGGAAAGCTACGCGAGTAATGATAAACCTAGATGATTCTTATATGAATGAAAAACTGAGGGCCATAAGAGACAGAATATAGTCAGTATGAGTTTAATTTGATCAGATACCTAACATTTAGTATCTAACTATCTAGTATATAATTAATTATGATACTTAACCCAATTAGATGTTTTGTTCATTTTTTTGTATGTGTATGTTTTATATGTGGGCATATTAAAATTCAATGAAGGAACTCTCTAGTTACACTAAGAGTACAAGCAGCTATTATTAGAGTAATTATTTAATTTGGCTAGCATTCATATCCATACTCATAACATGCACATATATACTTGTATCTGTACTCTCTTTATAACTGTACTGCTTTGCTTTATTTCAAATATTTAATGAAATATACAGTGAGTGAGACCAAAATCTTTGCAACCTAGTGGCTGCAGATAGTCCACATGAATTCTGTGACTATTCTGGTTCCCTGGGGCAGCTAAGGAAGGGGAAACTGAAAGACTTTTCTACTTGGAAAACAGTGATTTCAACTTCTGCCACAAAGGATCAGAAACAAAAAGTCCTTTGAGACTGGGTGATACCACCTTATCAGCTTATTTCTTCTGTTTGGCCTGGGTCACTCCTTCCTCTGAGCATGTTCTTATGCTGCCCCTTTCTTCTTTTCTCAAAAAGTCAACTGTTAGACCTCACATGAAACCTTGGCTAGATCCAGGAAATCCACACACTTCTTGAGACACACCCCATAGCTGTGAATTACCTTTAGACACAGCTGAGCTCAACACCACTAAAATAGTAGCAGAGGTTAGAAGTGGCAATGTCCTCCCAAATCATTTTAAGATGACAATTTTCAAGTCCATTACTTTTACATGGGTAATGATGGAAAAACTTGTGCTCTGCCTACCCTCCTCTTCCTTTCCTACCCCCATTTTCTATGACCCAAAGCAAACACTGTCTACTTGCATGATATTTTTTTTCTGTTACTTTCTTCCCTATGTCTAAATATGTTTAGACTCTCAACTCTTAATTTTCAGGTTTATACATTATTTAACAGTTTGTCACTATCAACACAGGGATGTGCTTTTCATCCCCTTCCTATCACCTCCTTGCAAAAGTATGCTTCCCTTTTTTCAAGTATAGTACTATGATTTCTACTTATATCAATATTCTGTGCTTGTATTATTATGATTATTTCACTATTTTAGCTATGCTGTGTGGTGAATGTGTTTTCTGGAGCATACATTTGTCTTTTCTTCAAATTCATTTCTTCTTTTTACTTAAGATTAGTTTTCTGAGTATCTATCACTAATTTGACCTTGAACACTGGTTAGAAAAAATAAATGCCCTCTTACTATATTTTCAACTCTTTATATATTCTATCAAACACAACTTTGTAGGTTGGATTTCCAGGGTATTATATCCTGTCGCAATCTAGTTGGACTGCTATCTCAGTCTGCTCTACAGCATTTATTCAGGAATACTCCTTTACTATCATTCTTGATTTCTAAATCTCATGTTAAATCCTTGTTTACTCCATTTAGCAGACTCTTTTAAATCTCTCCCCACCATTGATGAGCACATTTAGCAGAGCAGTAAAAGCAGGGAAGGTAAATTTTTAAAGGTCTGGCATGTCTGGACATATCTATGATATCCACTCACTTGGTTGACATTTTGCTGAGAACAGAATTCTAGGTTTAAACAAAACTTTCAGAATTTTGAAGTAACAGATCCATTTAGGAGAAGGAACCCATGGGCGGTCTATATTTCCATCTTATATGAATTTACAGTCTGTTTTCCCCAGAATACTTGTCTTTCCGTTGTGTCTGACATCCACAGTCCACAATCCTTTCAGTTTAGAGCTTTCCAAAAGGTGGAGACAGAGCCCTGTAATCTAAGTGGTTCCTAAGTGTATTTTGAAGCAATTCTGATGAAATTGGTCCTTCTCCCATCATCAATAGAGATGTGTATGCTAATACACGGGAACCTTTGTTGGTGCCCACCACTGGATTGCATCTTAGTTTTCTCCTCCTGCTCAGTGAGGCTTCTGACTTCTTAAGTTTGCTACGTCAGTTGCCGTGAGTCAACCACTGTCTACTTTTATTGTTCTACTCTATTGTCTCCACTCTATTATTATGTTTTTATTAATTCCTTTATTCTCAATATAGTAAAATTGAGAGGCAATGGAAGCAATTCATGTATTAAACCTGCCAGGCCATCTTAAACAGAAACTCAACAGAGCACTCAGTCCTTATTTTAAAAAAAAAAAAAAAAAAGCTACAGAACATGTTTAAGAATAACACAGAGAGGGGGCTGGGATGTGACTCAGTGATAGAGTGCTTGCCTAGCAGGTTCAAGCCCCCAGGTTCAATCCACAGCACTGAAAAAAAAAAAAAAAAAGAATGATACAATGAACTTTCAGTACCTGCATATAGATAAACTGATGTCAAATTACCATGTATGTACAACCCCCTATGGGTACGTTTGTGAATGCTTACGGATTTGTATAACAAAAACACAAATCAATACATACACATATTCCAAATCTCTCTTTCCCTCCCTCTTTATTGCTCATTTAAAAGAAAATTGCAGACATAAAATACTTTGTTCATACTATTTCAGGATCTCCTAGAATCAAAGAAAATTCTTCCATATATCCATAATACTTTTATCATTCTTCAGAATTTAATACTGGCATAGTATTTACATATTAGATAGTACCTATTCACATATTTCCCCAATTTTCAGAATAATATTCTCTGTAATGTGCGTTTTTTCTTCTAATTCAGGAATCAATCAAAGACTTAGCATTGCCTTGTCTTTATAATGGATTTTAGCTTGAATATCCTTTTTGTATCTCTCATATGACATTTTTAATGAGTTCAGACCAGTTCCTTTCTAAAATATGGATTTGTTTATTTATTCCTTATTATTAGATTCAAATTAATATTATTGTCAAGAATATTATGTAGGTGAAATTATGTGGCCTTATATGAACAAAATTTCATTATTGTTTTCAAAAATTATTTTATTACTTAAAAGCACAAATCAAATCAAAGCAACGTGTATTAACATATCCCTTCTGGTAATATGTGTTTCAAATTATCCCCAAAATGCTTATAATAACTTTTGATTGGAGGCAAACTTTAGGATACTCTAAGTAACCATCATATGTCCACTTTTTATTTCCATTAACGAAAGTTGTCTTTTGGTTATGATCAACAAATTAGAACTTTTTCTCAATTCATGAAATAAGAAATTTGAGTATACAGATTTTTATAGTACCATGTAGCTCTCAAATTTTATGAATCTATGATTAAGAATCACTTGTAATTTTGAAAAGAAAATAAATTTCAGTAAAGATTATGGATCAAAATGTATTATTCAAATGTTTAGTATTGTATATAAATTGGGTATTTTGTAATATATATGTTTACATATTTACTATTTGTACATTTTACCATCTTAAGGCTGACCAACTCTACACTAATAAAAGATGTCTTAAAATTGGGTTGTGTTTCTCTATCTGCAGATGGCTGCATTTGTATAGATTATTGTACCCTAGAATGAAGGTCAAGAATTAAAAACCCATGGCCTAAGTTGGGATTCACTTTAATGTACTTGGTAGTAATAAAATATTATTCATACTACAATAGAGAACACATTGATATTAATTTTATAGATACTTATTGTATAACCACTTACATTTTACTGAGTATATAGGCTTTGTTTTTATTTAAATCACTTTAATACTAATTGCAATAATATCTTTTCATTTGTAATTGAGTATATTTTCAAAAACATTATCAGCATCATCAGAACAATGTAACCATAAGTGTTTGAAATTTTGAGTTGAAATAAAGGTATTTTTTTTCTTATTACAGGAAGCTCTGATCATGGCCAGCATGGACCATCCACACCTAGTCCGCCTATTGGGTGTGTGTCTAAGCCCAACCATCCAGCTGGTTACCCAGCTGATGCCCCACGGCTGCCTGCTGGAATATGTCCATGAACACAAGGATAACATTGGATCACAGCTGCTGCTGAATTGGTGTGTCCAGATAGCTAAGGTAAGTGCCGTCACTTCCTATGGAAATGACACTTCTCTGTTTATATCTCCTAATCTGGAACAGTTTGGATATTGAAAACATGTCAGATCTTTCAAACCATTAAAACAAACCAAAATTTATTTTCCATATATTAAAGATGCATTATAAGGCGGTACCTGCATGCCAAACGCAGATGAGTCACATGATCTACTCACATGTTTGGATTATCATACTGTGTCATTTATGTTATATTGAGAGGCCAAAATAAAAAGCTTGCTAGTTAGAGGGAAAAATTACCATACTGGATTTCTTTGATTTTTTGTTTGTTCTAGTATAGTTAACAAACAAAATTAAGAAAGAAAAGATTGGATGTTCAAGTTGTTCCATTTTAGCTGATTTTATTACAATATATGGTAGAATTGTCAATAACCATGAATGATACAACGCTAAATATTTTCTTAACCCTTTGGGAAGTCTTCAGCTGGTCTTTAGTGGTTAACTTCACACAAGAGCTCAGGCATGTAGCGTACATAAGGGGAGTGAGCTTGATAATGGGGGAGGTAGCTCTGTGGTGAACCAGAGAATAACTACTGCCCTTGGGAAACCTATGATTTGGAGAACATTGCCAGTTATCAGATCTTATTTTTTAAGAGGGCCTATAGTTCCAGATTTGTACATGAATTCTTCAAATTTAAATGTTAGATCTAACTTCAGAAGCACTCTAGGAACATGCAAAGCATTTACAACCATATTCCACAAAGGTATACACATTTTCTTATTAAAAAAAAATCTATGTATGATTTCTTGTACTAGAAACTTTCTTGAAGAAAATTATCTTTCCTAAAAAATAGGGAATGTGATAAATTTAAATTCACTATATTAACTCTTAATTTACTCAAAATATTTGATGTTTTATAGATTTTATAGACATATTACTCTTCATACTTATCAATGGCAAAATATTAATTTACTAGTCTTTCCCTATTTCTTTTTGTAATCTAAGAATGAATAAAAGTCCATTACCAAAAGCAGAAATTTGAGACAATTCTTACAAATGCAAACCTCAGAATTACTTGAGAGAAAAGCCTAGCTTAGTTTTATATACGGTAAGGTTCAATTTAGTTTCCTTAAGGACTATGTATTATAATTTTGTGTTTATTCTCAAATCATCCTAGTACTATAAATAAAAACATAGCTAAGATTTAAATTTATTAGCTCTCTCTGTATTTCCTGCTGTGTTCTCCACAATTTAAGTTTTGTCTTTAGGAATCCATGGCATTAATATATCATTTATACATCACTATATACTCTAATGATAGAAACTACTTTTAGTGCCTGGAGTAACCACACAGTTTTATACTGTTTTTCTCTCTGCTTGAAGTCCTTTTCTTATATCTTCTTGATTCACACAGCATGGTCTTATTCATCCATCAACACTGATTGGTCTTCTTCTCTGCCAAGCCCTCCCTATTCAACATTTTCTCCAGAAAAATGTGATTACTTTCTCTTCTATATTAATGTTGATCATTGGCATTTTGAACACATTTCTGTTATTTAAATGCTTTACTATGTTTTTATAAATCTCTTTGATTTTTTATGGAAAACTTGTTTAATCATTAATCCTTCAACAAATACTTGAAGGCACTTATATAATATTGTGCTGACTTACTAAAGGAGGAACATATAGGTAAATAACAGACTTGGGTCTGATTCTCTCTGCACATCCTAATAGGCTGAATATTCAAGATGAAGTATACAGTTATATACCATCTGGAAGAAAAATAATTATAGGGTAGACTTAAGAGAAGGCCCAATAAGTTTTGAGGTAGAAAACTGGCTATGGGAAGAATTACTTCGAGGGAAGATTACAGGGAACCCTACTTAAGGTAAACAGGTAAGTTATAATCCAATGGGACAATTTTAGAAGTGAAAGGGGACTCTGTTACTAGTCACATCAGGACAACTGGCACAGAAAGATCCTAAATAGAATGGAATATGTGATTACCCTGTATGGCATAGAAAGTTTGGGTTTTACATTAAGTTCAGTAGGTAGTTATGAAATATTTTAACATGGAGTTGACAAAATTTATGGTCTAAAGAGATCATGCGCTTATATATAGAGATTATTTGAAGTCAATAAAGAATGGAAATGAGGATTCCAATGCAGACTCTGGGAGCAATGCAAACAAAGAGAAATAGATGGAATGAAGAGATATTTTTGTGTAAAAACCCAAGTTGAATGATTATTAATTACATGTGGTAGAGGACAAAGATGAGTACGGAGGGTGCCATTTCCTGAGATGGGGAAGGATGAGAGATGAATGTGTTTAGAGGATAATCAAGTGTTCAGTTATAGTCATAGCACATTAGAAAAAAAAATTGCAGTACATGGATCTAGAAACGTCAAATAATCAAAGTTGTTCAGATTTAGGAGTTACAGGTATTTAAATGTAAGGAAATATGAGGCTACCCCATGGCTAAGTCTGATTCTTAAATCTATTCTTAAATCTATTCCTAAAATTTGAGTCTTATATGTAGTATTCATTAAAGCAATACTTAACTCATACCTCAACTAATAAAAAACAAAAACTACCCTGAAGGAGAGTGTCCTTTCTTTATCTTTTTCCCTTGTTTAGGGATGGAGTTGTATAGTGGAAGCAGCATTAGGGTCAGAAAGACATACCTTCATTATTATGTTGGTGCCTACTTTGCAGTTTTGTGAGTTTGATTGTCATCCAAACTCTCTGAATCCTTTTTTTCCATGTATGTAATATCGTTAATAAATTTTATATTTTCTAATCTTCAAAATCAACAGATCTGGGCTGGGGCTGTAGCTCAGTGCAGAGCACTTGCCTTGCCACATTAGGCATAGTATTTGCATATAACCTGTAAATATTCTTCCATATTTATTAAGTCACTTCCAAATTACTTATAATACCTAATACAATGCAAATACTTTGTAAATCATAATTATACTGTGATGTCTAGAGAATAGCGATTAGAAAAAAATACTAGATATGTTATGATATGATATTTTTATATATATATTTCTCCCATTGGTTGAATCCTTGGATTCAGAACCCACAGGTATAGAGGTCTGATAGGCTGAATAACATCCTAATTCCAAAAAAGGCTTCATCCTGTTCCCAGAATTGGTAAATGTGTTACTTTTCATGTTAGAAGGGGCTTTGCAAATGTGATTAAATTGGAGTCTGCGGTTGAGGGGTATCCATGGAGTATTCACGTGGGCTCAGCATGAGAACAAGGGACCTATTAAGTGGGAGGAAGAAGGACTAGACTTAAAAAGAGACGACAAAAAACACAGAAGCAGCGTTGGAGTGATATACCATGAAGATGGAATCAGGGGCCACAGACTGAGCAATGTAGTCTACCTCTGGACACTGGAAATGGAAAGGCATTCCTATAGTCTCCAGAAGGAACACAGGTCTGCCCATACCCTGATTTTAGTGTGGTTAAACTGATTTCTGGCCTCTAACCTCCTGAGCAGTAAGAGAATAAATATACATTGTTTTAAGCCACTAAATTTGTGGTTATTAGTTAAAGCAATAAAAAAATGAATATACTTCTTTATTATGATTTGGAGATTAAATAAAATAACCCATGTACATTTCCTTGCTCAGCTTCTAGAATATGAAATGTTGAAATACAGTCTCATTGTCAGCTGTGGGTTGGAAGCCATAAAACAGAAAATTGTTTCATAAATGTCTGTGAAATATAGGTAATATTGTCTGAGTGAAGACAAATATTTTACAAATACCTAGTTCAGTAACTTAGAGGCTTCTTTTTCTTTGCTTCCAATTCTCATCAAGACAGACTCAAGAAAGTGTATGAGATTTTATCATGATTGACCCAGTACCCGCTATTATTTTGCTTGCATCTCTTTGTTGTTGTTGTTGTTGATAAAACTGGGCGGTGAAGGGAGAGATGATGCTCTAAAGTAATCAATTTATTTTTGTGTTATAACATACCTGTGGAACATTGAACAGTACTCAGAAGAAACAGTGCTCGCAACTGACACTACCAAACATTTCTTCTGGGCAAGGCATGACTGTATATATTTTTAATTAATTGATATGTCTCATCACAGATCTGTGAGATAGGTATCACCATTTCACAGATAAATAGAGATATAAAGAACTGAAGTAACTTCATTAAGTCTAGAGAGGTCATAAATGAATAATAGAACCATTGAACTATCTTGTCATGTATAAGGAAATAAGTATTTTTAAAATATTTTCATTAATATTCCAAATTTTCTATCCATTCTTTCATTAATTGATCATTCTACAAAATTTTATGTAATAAAAGACACACATTTAAACATCAAAGTCATCTACTTATAGGTGGACCTATTCACTCCACAAGCCCAGCATAACTTTTGTTTCATGTTCATGCAATACCATATGCCTTCTTGATGGCTTAGGAAACTAAGATGTAAGGTCGTGATGACAATTCCTTCTTTCACAGTTGTTGCTGAAAAGTTAGACAAGTAGTTTTTTTTGACAAATTAGAAATTCTGAAAAGCGTGTTGTGGGCTTCGAGTGAAGAACTTCATGGTGAATAGCATTGATAATGAGTCAATCCATATGGAATATGTTTGTTAACTTTCCATTTTCTCAAATTCCTGAAATAAGACAAGTCATAAAGAGAACAGGGATCCTTTGGCTCATGGCTTTGGAAGTTTCCATCCATAGGCAGTTGGTTGGTTGATCATTGCTTTTGGGCCTCTGACAAGGTAGGACATTATGGCAGGCAGCAAGTACTGGACCAAAAAAGCCATTTGCCTCACAACTGGAATGTTAAAGGGAGAAAGAGGAAGGGGCCAGAGTCTCACAATTCTCTTCAAGTGTGTGCCCCCAATGACCAGACCTCCAATTAGGCTCCACTTCTACAAGTTTCCACCACCTCTCATGGGAACTGTATTTTAACACATGGGCTTTGGAGGACATCTAAGATCCAGACTAGAGCAGGTATTGAGCCTATGTTGCACACCTGGAATC